GAAGACAAAATTCAAGACCCTGAAATTTTCAGTATAAATAGATCCTAGTTACATCTACCATCCATAACAAATTTCGCTTATTTTCGTCTAGTCAAAGCAGAGTTATTCTCAAAATAGTAAGCGTTATGTAATCTAAAAATAGTGATCGTTACCCAATTTCAGTTTTTTAGATCCGTAATGCTCACTATTTTGAGAATAACTCTGTAACTAGACGAAAATAAGCGAAATTTGTTATGGATGGTAGATGTAACTAGGATCTATTTATACTGAAAATTTCAGGGTCTTGAATTTTGTCTTCACGACGATTTGGCTCACTAAAGGCGAACAAATGAAATTCCATAAGATTCAGCCATGTAAAGAAATGAATATGACAGCATTTTTTTTCAGTAGATTTACCAATGTAGTACTTTCTTAGTGTTCATGCAAATTAGACTCAATATATATTGGATGATAGCTTATGTGTACTCTTTTCAAATACATATGTTCAATGGGTGTCCAGCTTCAAATATAGTCAAGATAAGTTACACAAAAAATGAAAGTTGGGTCGTTACTTATGAAACACCCTTTATCCTTCTGATCGTATGTAGAAGATGTTTCCTTCTCTAATGAATAAATAACTATTCTTTAAACTAAAGGACGGTTAACTCTGGCATTATAGAATCAGTAACAAATATATTTGATTATTATCTTCTTCATATTAACAAATATCTCATTCATATCTCTTTATATATATTATTAAACAAAATATTTTCGTTAATTCGATAATCCAAGTTCCTATTTTATCTAGAATATTACAGATATTCATTTATTATTGTGTCAAATTCAACCAATGCAACAATCCTTTGGAGTTTCGAATGATTTCTAGTCGATTAATTGCCAGAATTATTCATACACATCTTGTTATAAATGAAATTTCGAAATGAAGTCGTATTTTTCATTTTTTTCATAGAAAAAAACTTGATTGTATAGTACTATTATATACTTCATTACTACTAAAGTTAATTTACGTACATTTAACATGCTACAATAACTTTTTGTTTAAAAAACGCATTTCAAAAGAATCTTTCAATTTTACCTAATCGAAAATTGCATATCGGCTTCATCATTTAATATTCTAATCTCATATAGTTTTTATTCTGATCAATGTGGTTGTGAATTATATGTTAATCATTACTTCGTTAATTCATGCCCACTCCTTCCCACACCCACACCCACCCTCAAAGTCCAAGAACGTGAATGGTACTCCTGGTTTGGCTCTTAACGATTAATGCTGGTGATTCGGAATACATAGAGAAAAATCATACGCTTTTCCGAAATACTTGATTGGAAAACCTCTTCTTCCAAATGGACAACAATCCATTGTGATGGTTTCAAAGCCGTTGAAAGATAATGTCTTAAACTATAGTACACGTTGTAAAAAATATGCTTTGCTGTACATACTAGTGAAGACTTTGATTTTCACACTTTCAGTCTGCTTTGGCAAACACTGTTCATACTGCTGACTCCATTTTTATGAAGTTCTACTGGTGGGAGTCTACTTGTTTTCTATAGTATTGTTTGATCTAACAGCTGTTATGTCTTAAGGTAAATGGATCTATGACATCGTGTACTCTCGCTGTCAAAAGAAGATAGATTCTTCTTCATGGTTTTCTGAGGTAACTGATAAAATTGAAGAGCATATTGTCGCGCAATGATTAGCCGACTGGTGACGTCTTCTCTGTTGCACCACTGCTTACTAATATCAATCCATATTAAATCGAATCAGTCCTTTAGAAATCAATTCACATGTCGGTAAAATACTGTGGCCATTGTTTTGCTGCCCATTCATTGTTGATTGCAATCAAATCGGGAGAAAAATCCTCAAAAGAGAATCGGAATGATCGGCGAGCACATATGCAAAATGCTTTTCCATTTCCGAAGGGAACGTTTGCTCGTATCAAATGACCATTGTTTTTCGAATCGATGACAAGGTCATATGAAAGGAAAAGATATAAGACTTGATCAATGCATTCGAAATACGAACGAAAATAGAACGATCGAAACATAACACAAATCAGTTACGTTTTCCATTGATAGGATTTGTTTGTCTTACATTCACATCTATTTACATCATCGAACAATGAAAACAAAGACATCATGCAAAGATCGCCTATGTCCAAGAAGAACAAAAGAATTCATTTCATAATAGAGAAGGAGTTGATCGTAAGAGCATTTGACATATAATTTATTCTGCGTTTTTTGGTAAAGATTGCGATATCGTCGAACAGAGATCAGTCGCTGCACAGCAGTACCCACAGAAGTGGAATGAGTAATGACTTAGCGGGTGCTCCCGCAAGAGAAAAAAGTGTTCCTCTGATAATTTTAAACATTGGGGCTTGTCTCGTATTCTGTCGTCAACGAGTTTTTTTTATTTGCTGATTTCCCGAAATGAATGCAACTGCAATATTGTTCCACTATTTAAGAGAAAATATCAAATTGAGTTGCGTAAAACCTAGACTAAATCTCACGTCTGAATCGGCAAGAAATCGGAGCTAACCTTGATAGATGGTGCATCCAAGGTTGGCGATCAATCTTAGAGAAAAAGGTGCTGTTAAACTGTCATTATACTCGAAACGGCTTCAGACAATGAGAGAAAACATACCTATTGGGGGTGGCGCAGGTGGCGATACATTATAGTGCTGTTCCATCAGAAGGCATTTCAGTTCACTAAAAGTTGGCCGATCTTTAAGTGATTTTGACCAAGTTTTACAGATGATCAACCAGTATAATTCACTACAATTTGATGGTTTTGGAAGTAATTCGCCATTAGTAACGCGTCGAATAACCTCATTATCGTTTTCAATTTTCGACCAAGGTATCGTACCTCGAGAATATGCTTCCCACATTAGAATACCCATCGAATAGACATCCGATTTCTCCGTAAAATCATCAGGTGTTATGTTAATTCCAAGTATTTCCGGTGCAGCATATCTCGTCGGAATAATATTTAAGGTGGTCTTCGAGGCACCCGGTGTAACGGAATATAGTTTACTGTGTCGACTGAGACCAAAGTCAGTTACTTTCACAATTATATTTCTAGAACTAGTTTCATCGAAACGAAATATGAGTACATTACGACATGCCAGATCACCATGAACAACGTTATTAAATGCCAAAAAGATCATTGCATCAATGATCTGTAAAAATATTTCAATCAAAATTTTTTCATCAGGTACCTTTTTTCGTTCTTGCAGTAGATCATAGAGGCTCCCCATATGTGCATATTCTTGTAATAGCATAATGGAATTAGTATCATCATTATCACCACCATCATTACGTTCACGTACAAGACCATATGTTCGAACGATGTGTGGATGACGACTGAGATCAACATAGAAAGATGCTTCTTTTTTTGCATGAGCACCATCGACTTTTAATAGTATTATTTCCGGACGATTATCATTGTTTGGCAGCCATTGTGCGTGATAAATAGATTTGCCAAATGTTTGGAATAGTGGTCGGCCTGATTTCTTTTTCACATCAATATCAAGAGTGTATTGATAATTTTTATTCTTTGATGATACCTCAAAATGGTCAACTGCTTTTTTGATTGCATAACATGGATATAAATGTTCAAGTGATAAATGCTGACCAGTGATTGGACTCGTACCATTCGTTTTAATCCATTCCACAATAGCTTGCCTCTCATAAGTATGGCCATCTTGTGCTAGAACCGGATCACGAAATAATTGCAACGTTATTGGACATAATAATGAGTCATCTGGTGGATTCATATCTGAAAAATACCATTTCACATTTCAGTGTTATATGAAAATTATCACGAGAAATGCAAGTTCATGGTACAATTACAATTCTGGGAATAACATATCTAAGTTTTATGACCACCACTACTCAATCAGACCGAACCAAACTAATCGGTCGCCAGTACTGCTTTCATCTATCATCAGATATTTCTATGAAAATTAAAATAGGTACTGTGGAAGAAAATACAGAGAAAAAAACATGCATGGTAAGAGCGAGTTTGATTGTACATGCTCAAAATACGAAAACAACACGAATATAGATCTAACAACAGAGCAGTTGTTGTCTTCTCGTGATCAATCAAGATTTTCAGATATATGAAATTGTAGGTGAATATTTTTCTCTTTTTTTTCGATATTGGAACATGTCACAAAAAGATTCATGTCTAATGTGAAAATCAACTCTTGAATATTCCAATGTTTTTAACTGAAATAAACTATCAATAAATGTATTTGGTTATCATACTATTACATATGCGATAATTAGCGATATAATGAATAGGAACACAGCAAAACATAAGAATAAGTGATTACGGAACGAAAGCAGACAAATTAAGTAAAAAGAGTAAACTGTACGCACCGAATAGTAGGACGACATGTGGTATATCGACTTTCATAAAAGATTTGACATGTGTGACGAATTTTTAAAGAATCTAACACAACTCGATGTATGATCTGACAAGATTTCTACATTTGTGCTATCTGAAACAATCGAATACACCGCAGTCTTTCTACAAGATCTTCTTGTCATTCAACCATCTTTTCCTTGAATTTCTTCTTTTCTATTCCAAATACTAACATGTTCATGTTGTTTCTCCAGTTGGTCCTACTATACGTAGCGTAGACTAAGAGCGGCTGTGCGTCCATATGTCTGAGCAATCGACAAATGCGGCAAATGATTGATCGATTTTTAATAGTCGAACAGAAACTCGAATCTCTGACTCTTACTCTATTGATTTCTAGACGCTGAAGCTGTTCGTGTGAATGCAGCGTATGATTATGTATCTCGTTTCGCTTGACAAAATTCACTTTTTCGCTATTGTTTTTTCGCTCGAAACAAGAGAAATTTTTTTTCTCGTAGAATCGAACAGAAGCACCTCAAAGGTTTTTCGCTCGTTTTTCTTCTTTTTGAACAAGCTAGCTGTTTCCGCTGTTTGTGTGGTTGGAAGTTGCTCAACTACGAAACTTTCATCTATTAAAACATTTTTCATCTTGGTCAATATTCAGTCATGCTAAAGAGTGTGGAGTGTGAATGTGAGCTTATTCAACTCGATAGACTCCCAGCTACCATTACGTTAACGTTCAGGCCTTGCTAAAGGGCCTCATCAGATGGATAGTGAACATCGAAAATAGACTGAAAAGGTAGGAGCCTACTACATTGCAGCTCGAAGACATCAATCACTGACTGTAGAAATATAATTAAATGAAAGTTTAAAGACTTCCTTCATTATATTCCATGTAGGAGACCTTAATGCTTCAAGCCTTATTCAAGAGAAGTAAGAGGAGATTACGCAATCATAACTAGTAGGATGAGGTAAAGCATACCATTATAGTGGTTTCATCCTCAATCGAAGAAGGGAATCATCAGATGACTTTGATTTATAGAAGATCTGTATGTAATGATTGTAAAAATCAAGAGAGGCGAGTTTGAGAGGAATACTACGGCCGGTTTTGTCTTTGCTCAAAGGACTCTTAAGATGGCTTGCGAAGATGGGTACGAGTCTGATCATGAAAAGCAAATCTACGCTGACACCCAGGCGCCCTCACCCCGACTCTATCTAAATATTTCTGAAATTCAACGAGCAAGCCAGCATTTCGAAATTATTGAGATATCGATGTTAGATGATTTCAAAGATAAAAACAAATGTCACCACGAAACTCATGATGGTGAATTACCTCAGCGTTGCTACCTTTTCTAACGATAACAGCTCGATTGACTGAAATCAGGTGACTCGACTTAGCCTTATAGATTCTGAACAGAACTAACTAGGAACGTTAGCCTTGTGTAGATCGACAGAAAAGAGCTTTTTCTCTATCGAGCCGTCATATTGAAAGTCTCAATTGAAATAAAGCATAGTTTCAGAAAATCCGTCTTCGAAGATCTTCACCAAGAGTTCACCTGACTGGTTAGTGGTTGGCCATCATTTTTCAATATACTTCGATGCCACTGAGTCGTCTCTCTCGAATGATGAAAACTACAAGTCGCTAGCGGCTTCCGTTCTCAAGTTATTCGACAAATCATCACGGCCACTATTTTTCTGGAGAAAAAATAACTATGCTTATGACGTTTGAAATACTCTTTCTAGTCTTGGAAATCGTGTTCATAAGGTACTCATCAAAATCAAATCGTTAAAACCAACTATACCGAGTCAAATTCATTTTTGATAGATTCCAACTTCTTGGTTAGGTGTTGTATGTGTCAGACGGGTCTGTTGTTTTTCGAATGATTCATGTTTTTTGCATCATGACAACATTTTATGCACCACTTCTGTCTCATTTTACCTCCTTTTTTTCGTTTTTCTGTTTGAATTTTTTTTCACTGCATACTCTATCAGAAAGGACTTCTCATAGCAACAGTAAAATGTTCAAGGTAAAGATTGCAAGACGACTGATTATAAACAAGAAGAAAAATCATATATGTAAGAAAAAGAAATTCAGTTCGTTGATATTATATACAACTATATTTATTTCGACATGATGTGCAGTAGTTGGTATCGTTCAAAAATAGGCAATAACTACCCATGTGATGAAAATCGCACAATAATCGGCGATTTATCGCGATTTGTCATGCCGATTAATTGTGAGATTATATCGCGATAAAATCGCTCAAACTGGCGATTTTTGACGATTTTTTTGCCGAGTTTTCCCTAAAAATCGCGATGATTCTGCGATTTTCCTCTAATCAGTAAACACGATCCAATTGAATCTTCATCTTAACATTTTGCTATTTTTTCTTTCTTATTACGACTTTTAGTTTGCAGAATAAGTCTTTCTTCACTTTAAGATGATTGTTTATTTTTAAACAGAATAAGAATAAGTTAACAAGATTCAAATGAAGAAAAAGAATACACCGAAAACCTTGTCATGGCACACAAAACCTATTTCAATAGAAAAGAAAAGAACAAACGAACAAGAAGACTTTAGGCAAAAAATGAATAACATTTGTATATACACAAGAAAAAAAGTTAATTAGTCTATTTGTTCATCTGTTTCATGTTTCTCCTGGTTGTTCATTGTTGTTTTGATTGGTAGCCTGCCGTGTTGAAGGAGTTGTAATGGACTCATCTAAAGCAACAACAAAATAAAACTCATTGAATAATTTATAAAACAAAAACCATTTAATTTTATCTTACCCGGTTTTGCTTTCAACTGTAACGTTTTTCCTTGATTGCGTCGTTTGCTGAGAATAGAATCATGAACAGGCGGCCAAATCATTGCCATTTCCATTACTGAATAATTGAATTTTTGCCTAATGGCATCTGCAACAAACAAAAAAACATGAAAATCGATATAACATTGTTTAAAAACTGTTGTTGATTACATACCATATATTGCTTTAATTCTTGGATCTTCATCAATTTTTTTAACATCAACATTCTGTAAATCTTGCTTATCAATAAATAGTGAATCCATTAATTTTAAAGCATATTTAACTGTATTTTCTTTTGTACCATATGTTTTTAATAATTGAACGACAACACCGTCCCTTCTGGTATATGTCTTAAATGGAAAAAAGCAAGTAAAGAAACGGGAATTAGTACTCATCATATATGTGAATAGATGGTTTAGAAATGTAGCTACTTACTGATACAGGATCAGTGGAATCATCATCCCTGACATCTGTATTTTCATCATCATTTTCAAGAAAGACTGGAATCTAGAATATAAAATGGGTCTTGATGAGCGAGAATACGTTAACAATAGCTTCTCTTACCTTATGTCGGGTTAAACTCTTAGCTATTTTTTTTGATTTGTACACAATATGTTTAAAAATTTCTCTTGGAGCTCTAAAATGACTGTTATCTGCTGTTGTTGCTTCTGCAATTGTAGCACATTTGCATTAACTTGTTTGATATAATTTAATATTTGTTGTAAATCCATTTGTTGATCTTCATTTTTTCCGTCATCATGATCGGTTGTAAAACGTAAACGTTTGGCAATTGGTATTTTTTTTTGCTGCTTTGAGACACGTTTTTTTGAATTTGTAGTTGATGTCAGTAGTATAAAATTTAATGGTACATCGTGTTGCAAATCATCTTCTTCATCATGTAATGTTAAATCAAAATTTTTACTTTCGTCATCATCTGAACTTGATGAATCGCGATCAAATTCTTTTTGGCCTAAAAATACATCGCAAAATAATTCGACTACATAAAAACAGATTTATTACCTTGAGTACGTGTATATGAGTTTAGGTTGTCATCAGGTAAATGAGGTTCAGGTGGTAACAACGAGGGCGATGTTTGAAGTGATTCATTAGTAGCCAGTGGTGTTTGACCTGTTTATAGAAAAAAAGTTAATAAAAGTCATACGATTTTTAGAAAATTACTAACCAAAGGGAATTTTTTTTAATGAAAATTCTTTCGATGCAGGAGCTAAAGTCAAAAATAGACAATAACTATACACCATTTCAGTACTGTCATTTATTTACTTTCTCGATATTGTTTGCTTGATGATTTCGAACTTGTTGTGGATGGTGTTGTGAAAGATTTTGATTGATTTCGTTTTTCTTGTTTTGCTCGCCAATCTTCACAATCAGAAGGAACTTCTTCGTGCATTTTAGATTGCATTGCTTTTTCCAATAACTGACCATATCTTTCCATGGATTCTTGTGTGCCTAAAATAAATACAGAAATAGAAAAACAAATAAAAATTCATATTAATTAGCTATACAAGCATTACTGTACCTGTTTGTTCTACACAAATATTGTAAGATTTTCCAAGCTCTTTAATTATACCATAACCTCGATCATCTACGTGTGACAATCGTTTCGAATCAACGATACTGTATTTTAATGGTTCATCAATATAAGCAACGCACGAATAACTTTTGTTTTCTTTCGATAAACGTTGTTTTGGATAAGGTCGTTGATAAATGTTTGTTTTCAAAGACATCTAGAACAAAGAAAAAAGTACAAACAATAATAATAGTACAGTACGTGTCGTGTCGTCATCTTACAATTGTGTGTAAATAGAAAAGTGCGATATTCTTTTATATATGACTGATCAACTCGTCGTGAACTATTCATTTTCATTGTGCCTTTTCTTCCATACACGCGACTACTTTTCTTGTGATGAATAGACCGTCAATGAGTTGGCCTATCACCATTTCAGAATGAACCGTGTGTTATGATCTTCACCTTCGGTTAGATCATATCATCACTTCTCCTATTCTTCTTATAAAATACATATATATGCTTTGTGCGTTATTCTCTATGTTCTGGGATTTTCCCCATATGTAACTTTCTCTA